ATGCACAATGTAATAATTTATGTCAAAGCATGTCAAATATTCAAGTTGAAAACACTATGTTAAAAGCATTGTTTGTGTGTGTGTGTGTTCCTAACCTTGCCAAAAAACTAAGAGCTGTGAATGGATCAGTGGTTTGGGACCATCAGGTGACGTCCTGATGACTGATACACATTGATTGAATATTCTCCTAACCCTTAGAAAACTGGACACAGGAATGTTCTTGCAACGTTTCCATGAAACGTGTCTGGAACATTAATATAGACTATTCTGAGAACATGGTAACCACATTCTGGGGTAAGTTCTGTTTGACGTCAAGAGAATGGTCTCTTGGAAACTGGAATGTTCTTATGAAAACATTAGGTAATGACCTTATGAGACTTAAAGGAACGTTCTCTAAAGTTGTGGGAACGTTTGTTCTTAGCTGGGCTACCTCTCTTTAGTGCATCAAAATTCTTTGAGCAGGAGCACGCAAGGGCAAAACGTAAGTATGCGCACCCCTATTCTCCAGGACACAGGCATAATAACAACTCAACATGCTATATAGTCCACGTGATATGTGCCACATTTTAGGTGATAGGTTCACTTTTTCATTAAAGCCTGAAACTTGGTACACTTGTACAGTTTGAGGGCCTGAACATTTTTCTGATATGGAGCCATCGCTAAAACGCCTCCTGGCGACTGTGGAGGGCATTTTCCATTCTGCCATAACCAAATAATGCATTTTGCATCATATCTCCTGAACCAAACATGATAACACAGAAAATATTGTCTACCCCTATGTTTTAATGTTCAAGGATTACAATGATGCCATGCACAACATCAAAAACGACTCCAGGTGGTCGTGGGGGCCATTTTTCTATTCCGCCATAACCGGACAATGTTACATCATATCTCCTGAATCAACCATGACAACACAGAAAAGGTGACGTCTACACCTATGTTTTGATGGTCAATGATTACAATGGTGCCATGTACAACATCATAAACAGTTCAGATTATTATATTATATATTATTTTTTATGTGGTATACAGAGCCATACAATACTCTACTGCTGTCATCTTGCCCCTGGTTGTGAATTTGGATACTGTGTGACACTGTAAATTCATGGAACACAGGAAGGCCTTTAAAATTGTCTGGACCCAGGGACTTAGTGATTTCATGGACACATACACTACCAGTCAAAAAGTTTGGACACACCTACTCATTCAAGGGTTCTTTATTTTTACAATTTTTTACATTGTAGAATAATAGTGAAGATATCAAAACTGTGAAATAACACATATGGAATCATGTAGTAACCAAAATAGTTTTAAACAAATCAAAATATTGAGATGAGATTTTTCAAATAGTCACCGTTTCCCTTGATGACAGCTTTGCACACTCTTGGCATTCTCTCAACCAGCTTCATGAGGTAGTCACCTGGAATGCATTTCAATTAACACGTGTGTCTTGTTAAAAGTTAATTTGTGGAATTTCTTTCCTTCTTAATGCATTTGAGCCAATCAGTTGTGTTGTGACAAGGTACGGTGGGTATACAGAAGATAGCCCTATTTGGTAAAAGACCAAGTCCATATTATGGCAAGAACAGCTCAAATAAGCAAAGAGAAACGACAGTCCATCATAACTTTAAGATATGAAGGTCAGTCAATACAGAACATTTCAAGAACTTTGAACGTTTCTTCAAGTACAGTCGCAAAAACCATCAAGAGCTATGATGAAACTGTCTCTCATGAGGACCACCACAGGAATGGAAGACCCATAGTTACCGGCCTCAGAAATTGTAGCACAAATAAATGCTTCACAGAGTTCAAGTAACAGACACATCTCAACATCAACTGTTCAGAGGGGACTGTGTGAATCAGGCCTTCATGGTCGAATTGCTGCAAAGAAACCACTACTAAAGGACCCCAATAAGAAGAAGAGACCTGCTTGGGCTAAGAAACAGGAGCAATGGACATTAGACCGGTGGAAGTTTGTCCTTCGGTCTGGAGTCCTGATTGGAGATTTTTGGTTCCAACTGCCATGTCTTTGTGAGATGCGGTGTTGGTGAACGGATGATCTCCGCATGTGTAGTTCCCACCGTAAAGCATGGAGGAGGAGGTGTTATAGTGTGGGGGTGCTTTGCTGGTGACAATGTCTGTGATTTATTTAGAATTCAAGGCACACTTAACCAGCATGGCTACCACAGCATTCTGCAGCGATGCACCATCCCAGCTGGTTTGAGCTTAGTGGGACTATCATTTGTTTTTCAACAGGACAATGACCAAACACACCTCCAGGCTGTGTAAGGGCTATTTTACCAAGAAGGAGAGTGATGGAGTGCTGCATCAGATGACCTGGCCTCCACAATCCCCCGACCTCAACCCAATTGAGATGGTTTGGGATGAGTCGGACGGCAGAGTGAAGGAAAAGCAGCCTACAAGTGCTCAGCATATGTGGGAACTCCTTCCTTCCTTGTTGGAAAAGCATGCCAGGTGAAGCTGGTTGAGAGAATGCCAAGAGTGTGCAAAGCTGTCATAAAGGCAAAGGGTGGCTATTTGAAGAATCTCAAATATAAAATATTTGTTGATTTGTTGAACACTTTTTTGGTTACTACATGATTCCACATGTGTTATTTCATAGTTTGATGTCTTCACTATTATTCTACAATGTAGAAAATAGTGAAAATAAAGAAAAAGCCTTGAATGAGTAGGTGTGTCCAAACTTTTTACTGGTACTATATGTACCTCAAGTGCTTGTCGGTGCCAAATCCCACCCACCAGTCCTCAAATTATATTTCAGAACAGAACGTTTCCATTTTGGAGCGCTTCACAATTCTCCTTTATGCACGCACTGCATCAGAAATGACTCCAGGTGGCCATTTTGCTAGTCCGTCATAACCGGATAATGCATTTTCCGTTATATCTGCTGAACCAAACATGATAACACAGAAAAGATTATGTCTACCCCCATGTTTTGATGGTCAAGTATTAAAATAGTACCATTTCATTGGATTTCTTCCCATAGCTTACCATGGCAGTCCAGCAGTATATAATAATCTGAACTGTTTATGATGTTGTTCACCGTTGTAATCCACCGTTGTAATCCTTGACCATCAAAACATAGGGGTAGACATTACAGTTTCTATGTTATCATGTTTGCTTCTGGAGATATGACTCAAAAACCATTATTTGGTAATAGCGGAATGGAAAATGGCCATGAGGCATTTTTGCGATGGTTCCATGTCTGAAAATGTTCAAGGCCCCAAACAATAATTTATATATACACTAGATGACAAATATGGGGCGCTGTGTTGAACCCACCGTGCCTCCATCTTGGCACTCCCCCACCGTTGTAAAAAATGTTTTGGAAGCTATAGAAATGCTTTTATCAATGTCTACATTCGTTTTTGCCACATTTATTCTGTTACAGACACCTTAATGCATACTTTAAAATTATGTTATGTGAGCTAAACATATATATTTTTTAACATGTTCAAAAATGTTAAAGTATATATTTTTTTGATTACCAAAGTTACTGTCCCCACTAGAACAACAAAAATACTTAAATACATGTAATTTGCTCCTTGAAACATTTAACTGAAGTACTGTAGAATTTCATTCATTCCTATGGAAGACTGCTCCTTCCGTGGAGTGCCAATATGGCCGACGTGTGGCATCAAAGCCTCTCAATGGCCAATGCATAGCGTCAGCAATGCAGGGTTTATATACATCATTGGCCCCAAACTGTACAAGTGTATGAAGTTTCATGCTTTTATGAAAAAGTTAACTACATTTTCACATATTGCCTGGACTAATATGAATATTACACTCTCCTGAGTGGCGCAGTGGTCTAAGGCACTGAATCGCAGTGCTAACTGTGCCACTAGAGATCCTGGTTCGAATCCAAGGCTCTGTCGCAGCCGGCCGCGACCGGGAGACTCATGGGCGGCGCACAATTGGCCCAGCGTCGTCCAGGGTAGGGGAGGGAATGGCCGGCAGGGATGTAGCTCAGTTGATAGAGCATGGCGTTTACAATGCCAGGGTTGTGGGTTTGATTCCCACGGGGGGCAAGTATAAAAAAAAAAAAAAAATGTATTCACTAACTGTAAGTCGCTCTGGATAAGACCGTCTGCTAAATGACTAAAATGTAATGTATATGAACCTGGTGAAATTCACAAAGTCTTTTAACAACTGTTACTTGTGAGTGTGTGTTTGTGTATGAGTACACACATAGGTTTGCGTGTGTGATTGCAATTGGTGGAGGGTGGTATGTGTATTAAAATGAGTGAAATAATAAACAAAAACATTGATTTTGGTATGTTATTACATGATTGGTTGTAGTTATTAAGTTATTCATAAAAATGTTGTTACTCACCTGATAACATAATAACCTCCAGATAAAGTAATAACTTATTAAATTAAGTGGAAAAAGTTATTACATTATCCATTCAACATGTTTATTACGTTATCCAGCAAGTTATTACATTAACCGGTTTTATTACATATCTATTTTTTTTAATTATCACACTTAGAGAAGTTATTACATTAACCAGTGTTATTACATTAACTGTTGTTACAGGGCATTACAAGTGTTATCAGTTTTGTCCTAAGAGTTTTGAAATTACCACTTACTTCTCAAAAATGTGTCAAAAAATCAAAAAATCTAATTTTGTGATAAGCCCCATATAAACCAAGGTTATACAATAAAGTGCCCCTGAGTTTATAGCTTCAACAGAAATCGATATGAAAGAATGGAGAAGGTATGTAATGATTCAACCTGTCAGCAAATGTTACGTTTGTGTCTAGATAGATAGATAGATGTCATGGCTCACGCAATGTTAACATCTGACACATATATATATACACACACACACACACACACACACACACACACACACACACTGATGGGCATTGCCTGCGCTGTATTATCACTACAAGGTATTTGACATAGCACTGGCAGGCAGTGAACCTTTTAAAGTGCATCCCAGTGAGAGCTATGGAGCCATCTGATGCCCATACTTGGAGAGGAAGCATAGCTTCTATGGTATGTGATAAATGCCAGCGCTACATGAAGGCTGTTACTATTAAAATAACACATGTAAAATGCTGAACAACATTACAAAAACACAAAATTGTAAGTCAGAGAAGATTCCTGTGTATATTTTGTGGGCGTAGAGCAGTTGCATGTTTTCGCAGCATATTAAATGACGTTGCCGTTTCCGTGTTTTTGTCAAGCTTGCACAGCGCATGGGCTGGGCTGTGTTATCGCATTCCTTGAAACTGTGGACCATAAACGGTATGTGGGGCCCAACATATCGACATAACAACGATGCAAATTGAATTTTAAAGCAAGCTATGGAAATGTTCTATACATTCATCACAATCAATAAAATGTATGATACTGGTAATCTTTGCTGTTAGGTCGGGTGTCATCTTTCCTAGCGCGAATTGTCAAGTGGAGTGGAAAACAGCTAGCCGATTAGCATGCTAGCTAGCTAACGTTACTGCTGCTGAGGTCGAGACATTTAGTTAAGCTAAATTGTTTTGGTTAGTTACTGCAAATATGGATAAGAATTTTGCTAAATAGCATAGCTTTATTGTTTATATATTGGTAACTTATCTAATGCAAGTAAGTTCGCTAACTAACGTTAGTAGTTAGCCACTAAGTAGCCACCATTAGCTGCTAGTCAACGAGTTGCAACAGCTGGTAAACGGGCTAGATGGCTAACTTACCTTTTAACCTAACAAGCTAAATTGCTAAGTTTATACTTTTTGCCAAATTATGCGCAGGGAAAACTAAAAACACGTTTGCTAGGTTGGGAAATTATAGCTGTCTTGTACAGAGTAGTAGCCATTCAGTTTGTGTGGGCGGGTATCACAGCAGAGTTGTTATTATTTGATACACAGTATGTCAATGTCAGTCAACATCACATTTACAAATTCACCAAAGGGGGATTGCCATACCCTTTGATGCTTAAAACATTACTGATGAAACCCCACAAATTGATCTCCTAGAATAGATCGTAGTCCTAGCTCAAACCAAAAATGTCTCTCCTAAGTGAACGCCTGTAATTCTTTACCATAATAATACCAACATTGTTTTTTCTTTCAGATCTGAAACTTCAACTTGGCCAGCCAGGTGTTGTAGACGGTGTGGTGTGGCGTCAGTGCACCCCAGCCTGGGTGCCATGTTCCTTAGCTCCACATGAGCTCTACTATGTGGTACATCATGCAATCTATTCAGAGTAAATATTCCCTGTCCGAGCGGCTCATTCGCACCATTGCTGCCATTCGCTCTTTCCCACACGACAATGTGGAGGATCTCATTCGAAGGGTAGGTTGGCTTATCTTTGAACTATAGAGAGGAAATGTTAACACACACCACTGTACTTATCTAATTTGTTGTGTCCCAGAGTTGACTTCTTTGTAGAAAAAGATAACTCCCTCAACCTCACACACATTGTTAATTGTGTAGATGTTTTGTGGTTTCATAGCTATCTTTTAATTCTGCCACAATTTTGAGTGCTTGATGTTATTCAATTGAATATGACTTGTTGTTTATGGTATCAGTATCTATTCATATTTTGCATACTGTTGACAATGACGTAATTGCCTGTCTACCCTCAGGGAGCTGACGTGAACCGTATGCACGGCACTCTGAAGCCCTTGCACTGTGCCTGTATGGTGGCGGATGCCGACTGTGTCGAGTTGTTGTTGGAGAAAGGAGCGGAGGTATGTATGGTGGCATGTTTTCAACTCTCACTCATCCAACTTGAACTTTGTTTGAAATGATGTTATTTTTTTATATATATATTTTTTTATAAGTTAGATAAACATCCTGAGGTAATATAGTATTTTTTTAATACTGTACATGCTGCAGACATCCATAAATCTAACCTGCTCTTGATTGCTCCCACTTGAATCCCCCTCCCCTGAATCACAGACAATAATAGTGAATCTCTTATCTGTGAACTTACGTCTTTAATAGCTGCTATTTGTTACTATGTAATGCCTCCAATTATAAAATAAACTATGGTTACTCTCCTTTTCTCAAATGGACTAACAAAGTTTTATTGTATTGTAACCTGTCTTCTCAGGTGAATGCCCTGGACGGCTACAACCGCACGGCGCTGCACTACGCAGCAGAGAAGGACGAGGGCTGTGTGGAACTCCTCCTAGAGTACGGGGCCCAGCCCAACGCATTGGACGGTAACAAGGACACCCCGCTACACTGGGCCGCCTTCAAGGATAACCCTGAGTGCGTCAGGGCTCTGCTGGAGAGCGGTGCCTGCCCCAACGCACGGGACTACAACAATGACACTCCGTTAAGCTGGGCCGCCATGAAAGGCAACCTAGAGAGTGTGAGGGTTCTGTTAGAATATGGAGGCCAGGTCCATGTTACTAACCTAAAAGGCCAGACACCCATCTCTCGCCTGGTGGCACTACTTGCCAGGGGCCTGGGGGCGGAGCAGGAGGAGGAGTGTCTGGAGCTGCTGTACAAGGCGGCGGGGAGGTTTGAGATCCGCCGGGCCGATGGTACCTTACCCAGGGAGCTCAGTAAAGATCCCCAGCTCCTGGCCAAGCTGACCAGTATGGTGGCTGACGCACCGACGCTACGCGCCCTGTCACGTTGTGCCATCAGACAGAGCCTGGGGGTGAGGTTCCTCCCCACTGCGGTCAAAGAGCTGCCTTTACCAGAGTCGGTCAAAGAGTACTTACTGCTGAGAGACTGAGCTTACAGGGGGTGGGACTAGAGGTGACAGGATGTGTAATCACTATCGATCATATTCAGACTTGAAATCTGTGTGCTTAGCTCAGAGTGACTCGCACCTATCGCAACTCTGAATCAGATTATTGGACAGTTTATGATGCATATATTCTGACAAAGATTCTCCTTAATGAGGAATGATGTTGATTCTAGATAGTATGAGGTGTTGTAGGCAGTCCAATAAGTCACACTGAGACGAGGAAGTACTTAGTTCTTATGTGGTTGATGATTGTGGTTGTTGTGTGTAAAATTTGAGTGATTCTCTTTTTCTCAGTCTGCAGGTTCAGCCTTGCAATCCCAAAAAACATAGTGTAAAATATGGAATTGCATTTCATTCAATGTTGCATTTCATAATAACTGAGTAATAATCACTCTTTTCATGTTGTTACAAAATAATAAAAAATAGTAGATTACATAATTAAAATCACTAATATATTATAGAGCTCAGTGTGCCAGGTAATGTTGTTACATAACGTTGATTAACAGATATGTGACTGTTATCCTTCCTGGCAGGATTGGGGTCAATTAAGTTACGAATTGGTCTTTAATTCCAATTCCATTCTTGAATTTGAATTGGCCACACCCCACAGGAAGCAGAATTTGAATTAAATGAAATTCATTGAAATTTAAATTGATCATTTTATTGCATACATCATGCACATGTTTATTTTTACATCATGTATGGTTACCAATACTATATTTAAAACTCATTCTCCTTCATTGAGTTTATCATAATTATAGTGGTTTGGAAATATTGTAAGAACATTGTTTAGGTTGTCTATAATAATTCAAATTCATTTACATGTTATTTGATAATATAAAAATATGTTTTCCAGAATGCATTAGCTCAACCACTCAGAACATCTCATGACAAAAATACAAACATCTTTGAGTTCTAATCAAGCAAATATTTGAAATGGTGTCTGTATTCTTCAGTAAGAGGTGGCAGATGCTTTTGGCAAAATATTTGTCAAAGGAATGAGACTCGTATGTTTCATATCTCAGTTAGAATTGATTTTAATTGGTTTTAATTAAATTCTACTTACTTGAATTCAAATTCATTTAAAATTCTGCTTCCTGCCGAGTGTGGCCAATTCGAATTTCAATTCATGGGTTGAATTGAATTAAATTCAGAAATTCCGAATTGACCCCAACCCTGCTTCCTGAGCTAAATATTTGGATATGCCAGCCTGTCAAATTTCATAAGTGTGAAAATGTGATTTGCTATTTGTGTTAGCTATACATGTTTTTGAATGGAAAAGGTACAGTTTACATTGGCTTATTTTAGTTGAAGTATGCTGATGTACAGCCAACTATTGAAGAATAAATAGATATTTTGTTTTCCATAGAGACTAGGTAAACTTTTATTTTGTAATTTGTACATCAGGATTTTCAATGGTGCTTTTTTTTTGGTCTAAAACTTTGTGCACCACAGATTTAAATGGGATCATAAACAATGTAACCAGCAAACCATGTAAAGGTATTTTTCATAATTGTTTAATTTAGGCAAAAGCTTTCAGTAATAGTAGAAATTGTCATAGTGGCATGAATTTGTATGTTTTTATTGTATTTAAAATATATAAACAATAGAAGCTTTGACCAATAGTACATTTTGTTTGTAGTGAAACTCAAGTGACACATTTTTGACAGTTGTTGTGCTTGTTTCTGTTTGCTTGTTTGCCAGGTGTGTACATGTATAACATTGATAGTTCATTTGGTTCTCTTAGACCCCAATGTAAACCTACAAAGTGCATTTTTCTGTTAAATAATGAAAAAAGTAAACGCCTTCCCTTATACTATGTACCGCATTTCGGTTGTTTTTCTGTTATTTTAGTTTAGACACCAGAAACATTGCATTGTGAATCATAATATATATATATTTTAATCCAGTAGGGAAATTGGCAACAACGCAGGAGTCTTTAGTCTTCAACAGTGCCTTCAGAAAGTATTCATACCCCTTGACTTATTCCACATTTTGTTGTGTTACAGCCTGAATTCCAAATGTATTAAAATCCTTTTTTTAAATCACCCATCTACACACAATAACCCATAATGACAAAGTGAAAACATGTTTTTAGAAATGTTTGCAAATATATTCACACTGAGTCAATACATGTTAGAATCACCTTTGGTAGCGATTACAGCTGTGAGTCTTTCTGGGTAACTCTAAGAGCTTTGCACACCTGGATTGTACAATATTTGCACATTATTATTTTAATACATTTTCGAGCTCTGTCAAGTTGGTTGTTGATCATTGCTAGACAGCCATTTTCAAGTCTTGCCATAGATTTTCAAGGCAATTTAAGTCAAAACGGTAACAAGGCCACTCAGGAACGTTCAATGTCATCTTGTTAAGCAACTCCAGTTTATATTTGGCCTTATGTTTTAGGTTATTGTCCTGCTGAAAGGTTAATTTGTCTCCCAGTGTCTGTTGGAAAGCAGAATGAACTCGGTTTTCCTCTAGGATTTTGCCTGTGCTTAACTCTATTTCATTTAGTTTTGTCCTAAAAAAATCTCCCTAGTCTTTGCCAATGACAAGCATACCCATAACATGATGCAGCCACCACCATGCTTGAAAATATGAAGAGTGGTACTCAGTGATGAGTTGTGTTGGATTTGCCCCAAACATAACGCTTTGTATTCAGGTACATTTCTTGGCCAAATTTTTAGCAGTTTTACTTTAGTGCCTTATTGCAAACAGGATGCACGTTTGGAAATATTTGTATTCTGTACAAGCTTCTTTTCACTCTGTCATTTATGTTAGTGTTGTGGAGTAACTACAATGTTGTTGATCCATCCTCAGTTTTCTCTTATCACAGCCATTAAACTCTGTAACTGTTTTTAAGTCACCATTGGCCTCATGGTGAAATCCCTGAGCGGTTTCCTTCCTCTCCGGCAACTGAGTTAAGAAGGACGCCTGTATCTTTGTAGTGACTGTGTGTATTGATACACCATCCAAAGTGTAATTAATAACTTCACCATGTTCAATGTCTGCTTTTATTTTTTCCTTTTTTTTAATCCATCTATCAATAGGTGGCCTTCTTTGCGAGGCATTGGAAAAACTCCCTGGTCTTTGTGATTGAATCTGTGTTTGAAATTCACTGCTCGACTGAGGGACCTTACAGATAATTGTATGTGTGGGGTACAGAGATGAGGTAGTCATTCAAAAATCCTGTTAAACACTATTATTGCACACAGAATGAGTCTATGCAATTTTTACTCCTGCACTTATTTAGGCTTGTCATAACAAAGGGGTTGAATACTTATTGACTCAAGACATTCCAGCTTTTCATTTTTAATTCATTTGTAAAAATGTCTTAAAACATAATTCCATTTTGACATTATGGGGTATTGTGTGTAGGCTAGTGACACATCTCAATTTAATGTATTTAAATGTGTAAAATGGGTGTGAATACTATCTAAAGGCATTGTATGAATCAGTTTTTCCTTCAATAGCAGGAGAGACTGTTCTGGATAGATCTAAGTATAGTATTGAAAAACAGGTTAATAATCCTCAGTAATGTTGTGTTATTGGGAAAATATCACGACAAGAAAGAAAGATTGGTTTAACAACATCTTGTGAAGTATATACTGTACTCAAAATGATTGTATACTTCTTCTGTCAAAAGAACACCCTATTTACAGGATAATACAGTGTACTCTTGTATGCCATTGTTGGTGTGGCACTAATGAAGAAGTGACAGTTGAGAATTGTTGTAAACAACATATATTTCACTGTTTATCTGTATTTACAGTGGCTGCCACTCTAATAATTAACTTTGTCACTGTGTGAAAACACAAAGCTATTGGACACATTTCAAATTCCCCCTTTGTTTTAATTGGCTGCTTCTCCTTTGATTAAATATGAGCAGGTTCAAAGGCACTGCTCAATAATAATCCTTTGTTGAGTTACTTAGGTATTGTCTGTAGATATTTCCAATGCTTTATTGTGGCCATATCCTGACACAAACAGGACGTTCGTTTCCCAGTGAGAGAAAAAAAGTTTGTCACTAGCTTCTATAGCCACAAATTCATAAACCCTGCCCATTTCTACAATTTATATTTTTACATTATTATTATTATATATATTTTTTCTTTTACCTTAACCCTAACCTTAACCACACTGCTAACCTTATGCCTAACCTTAAATTAAGATCAAAAATATTAAACATTTAGCCAATTTTGTCTTTGTGGCTTTGGAATCTGACTTTGTGGCTATAGAAGCTAGTGGAAACCAGAAATAAAAGGTGAGAATTTCTGGAAGGAAACTAAAGCAACACAGAGAGGAAGAAGGCCCCCTCTCAGCGCTCTCTCAAACTACCTTCCTTAAAAACTGTACAATAGTTATCATTCACTCACATGTGTTCAATGTCTGGATTTTCTTTCCATAAAATTAGCTCTACTGTACATTTTCAATCCTACTGTAAATGTATACTACTGTACTCTAGTGTACACTTTTCAATCCTTAAATATATCAGGATTTTCACTCATATATCAGGCTTGAAAATATAAAACAGAAAGAAAAAAATGTTAGGAGAAAATGTGACAGAGCATTGTTGTAACTGCACTCATCAGAGATGGTCTATAATGTTGTAACAACGTTTTAAATGTGGCATTTATAATTATGACCTCATCATCCCTCACAACAGTGCTCCTTCCACACATAGCAATATAACAAACTGGAGTCATTCTAGTTCTAGAATCATTCTAGTTCTGTGACTCCACATGCCCAAGGTTGGAGGCAGGCCAGGCCAGCGGTGGTTATGCAAGCTGTGATCTTAGGGACTGGATACATAATAAATTACATAGTCTGAGTTCGAAAAAGGCACCCTTTCTTTTTTTTCCCTTTTGACCATGGCCCATAGTGCCCTAGTTAAAAGTAGTACCCTATATAGGAGATAGGGTGTCATTTGGGATGAAGACCTAGTTTCCTTTTCCACAGACTCCTGGCTCAGTCAGTCTACAGAATATTGGAACAACACAGTTGTTAAACAAAGCAAATGAGCAGAGAATTTGATGCTAGCAATAATTATGAGCAACACTCACTGCTGGGTGGATTCCTTGGGGAGAGAGAGTACAGTGTACTGGTAGTGTATAATGCACTGTTTAACCAGTTTCTTATGTTGCATCTTGAATTGAATACCTGCTTCATGTGAAAGGTTGTAAACTAAGAATTTAGAACCCGGCCGGCTTCTAAAGCGACCAGCTTCTATTTTATTAAATTCCATTCTATTATAGCTTTAACAACTTTAGATTGAGTACAAACAAAGCTTTACACTGTGCACTAAGCATTCCCTTTCCCAGAAACAGACAGTATCTATTATTCTATATAGAAGGAGATAGACAGACAAACCTCATGTATTTCATGACCACATTCCAGAGACAGGTTATTGAGGTAACCAAAACAGCTGCAAAAACAAAGGTGCCTGTTTGTTTGTTTTGAAAGCTATCAGAGGTTATAAGTATGAGCAATGCGAGTATGAAAATCAGTGTTGTGTTCACAGTCAGAAATATGGTAGGCTTATGACACCCCACTTCAAATATTTGCTACAGAGGGTGAATAGAATAGAATATAATAGAATATGTGGCCCCTGGGAAAA